TTTGCACTGCAGTGAAGTTTCTCAGACTTCTTCTTGACTCTGTCCCTCAAGGAGATTTTTCGTATTGTTTCTTCCTAATCCCTTTCCCCTGTGAACCTAATACCACAGAGACCCTGAACACCTACTATTTTCTGTTTGCATTTGCGCTTCATACATAAAAGGAGCAAGGCTGGCCTCATCTCCAGGAGGCAGTTTTTGCCCCCTGCAGGGGTGGTGTCCACCCCACTGAGAAGGCATTAGCTCTGTCTCCACCCCCCTGCCCCAGGCCTCTTCCAGGCAGAGGCAGTGATGGCTCCAGCTGTCGCCAGCCCCCAAGGTGCTGCGCTCTGCTCTCTGGGGTCTCTGGATGCGCATGTTCATCCCTTCATCGAACCCTCAATATCAGTCCTTCCTAGTGGAGATTCAGTGACTGTGCCCAGATCGCACCACAGGAATATTCTGGAAGCAAGCGCTGAGGGTTGGGAGCCATATTCAGAGGACTCTGATGGCTGCCCTTCCCACTGGAGGCTGGAGCCCTGCATGGCTTGCTCGTAGTCCTGCAGTCTTGGGGCCCAGCACGGAGGAGCCCCAGAATCCGTGGCTGCATCTGCACTAGGAACCTGCCTCTCCCATGGCCACTGCCTCCCACAGAGACTCATATTCGCCTTCCTGTGGCACCTGAGGACGGTTCTGGCATCTTTTCCTCATGGGGCATCTCTGCTCTCCCTTGGGACCTCTGGTCTTAACAATGTCACAAGCTCACTCTGATGACAATGAGGCTCTTTCCTGCCCAGGAGCCATTATTTGCCTTGTTTCTGGTCTCACATGCATCTACATTTTCTCCCTTTGTAATCACCCCAGTTTTCTGCCCAGTATAAACCCATAATTTTGTGCCTCTCTTTGGTGCAAAAAGATCCAATAAAGGAATACTCTACCTTGAAGGATGGCAGGAAGGGGTGCCCCCTAGTGGCCATGCTCAGCGGCTCCGCCATGAACTGTAGCAATTCCCCTCTGGCCAGGGACTTGCTGGGAACACCAGCTTTGCCCAGACCCCAGAGCTCGTGGCTTAAAACTGGTGTGTGGGTATGTTTTGTTTTAAGCAGGAGAATAGTCTCCCCAAAAAACTCACAAGGTGTGAAGCCCAAGAAGCCTGGTCTGATAAAATGCTCGGTGAGAAGGGTGCATGCCAACCCTTACTCTCCTCCACCCGAGGTCCCCAATCAAACAGAGACCTCACTTCACAGTCTGTTACTCAAAAACTAATAGCTGATGTGTTCTGGACTCTCTGTTGATACATTGCACTCTTTGCTAATTTATGTGATTTTTTTCTGCAGGCTGCAATAGGTTAACTTAGCCCATTGTACAGACAAGGAAATCCCAGCAACTCGAAAGATTGAGGCAGGAGGATCAAGAATTCACAGCCAGCCTCAGTTACTAAGTGAGGCCCTAAGCAACTTAATGAGACCCTGTGTGTAAATAAAATACAAAATAGGGCTGGGGATGGGGCTC